GAGAGAGAGAGAGAAAGGAATAATATTCCACCACTGCCAAAGATCATAACTCATAGCCCATTAAGAGACCTCGAACTGCCTGGCTGCCACTTTGATACAGTCCGGGGCATCAAAGACATTCCGCGCTCACGGCACTCCTGGTCCGCGATAAATCTCAGAACGGACGATTACGCCGACTTGAACTGCGAGCTGCCACGTCGGCGGAATCGGAGCGCGTCCTTAGACGGAGGGACCGATTATCGAGAGGAATGGTTTGTCGAACTGAAGGGACGCGCGTCGTACCGAGGTTGGATTTGCGAACCGTCTGAAGGGAAATGATCCGTTGCTAGGGTGAATAAGAGGCGTCGCTGGCATATTGTTGAACGATCGAGAGGATTTCTCTGCGAGGATAATACTTTTCGATTCGTGCGCGTTACGTAATATAAGAGACAATTTTTTTCAATTCGTGATATGTCTACAAATTGGAGAACTGTATGTTTTTGTGATTTCTCGAATCTAAGTCTTAAGGGTAACTTCTGTTCTGCTTACAGCATGTATCGGTGTATGCTACTACTGTATACCAGATAAGAGTATTTTAGGGTAAGCGGATAAGTAAGCAGGGTATTCACCGGGAAGCCAATAGTATCACGAAGCCTCGAAAATGCCGTCAAAGAAGTTCCCGTCGACAATGCGGTCTGAAGCGATATCGATGCCGTTGGAGCAAAGAAGGGGCTCTCGCGTGACGTTGTCGATTGCGAAATTGACTTCCACGTATTTCTATTTTATCTATCGACTGATTACCTACGCCTCGATACGCCGTGATTAATTTCATGCATTAATTTGTTTTATATTCACGCTCCGATGATTGATTAATAGTGACGAGAGTTGATTACATCCCGCGGAATATTGAAAATTCACGCACGACTCGGTTAATGCAGCAGAATTTCAATTACGGGCAAAAGGGCACTGGTGGAGCGACTAATGTCTTGCGAGTGCGAGTTTATTAGCGCGGTAGGTGGTCCTGATGATTCCTTGTGTTTGGACATTCGTCCCTCGCCGTGCGCCCTCCCCCTCCGTCCGTCCACCTCGTCGCGCGTTTGTCTCGCTGGAATGGTAATTAGCTGACACGCATAATCAAAGGAATATGCGACGGGCACGTTAACGACGTCTAAGAGCTTCGAAACGGCCGATACAAATGGCTCCGCATGCGGGACGCTGCGCATCATTAATCCTCATTGCAGGCTGAGGGCCGAAATAGACGTTGCGGTTTAGTAGGGCGTGATTAATATACGGCGTGATCGGCCGACCGGTCGATCGTCAACTATCTCGAGGACAGACAGGATGACGGACGTGTCGCCCGCGTGGCCTGTCGAATTGCTCGTAGATGATCTATCACGTTCCACGAAGACGACGTCTCCGTCTCTTCGACCGCTCGTCATTTCCGCCGCGATCGCGCGCCGAACATCTTAAATAGGCCCATAATCAAGAGCCAGATACGAGAACCAGAGACAGATCGAGAACTTCCCGGATAGGCTTTCAGTTCAACGGACAGCGCTTGACGAGATATGAAACCGGTGTGAATGGTCAGGCTGATTCGCATATCGTTGCATTATGCCGTCGATGTCGATCTCGCGATGCCGAGCGAGCGCACGCCGCTGCGTTTTTCACGGTCTGTAGCGGAGCTAATATGATCAAATTTCCGGATTTGTATTGCGTTGGATTTGTGTGTGATGCGCTGCGTAAACGAATCAGTAATTCACTCACCGTGCGCGATGCGGCCCGACGTTTCCGCTATCGAAGCTGGAGCTCGCACTGATGTCCGCGTCAGGAATCGCGCCCGATTCCATCCCCAGGGGTGCGATGCATTGTGCTGCAAATAAAGGAAATTGCTTCAATTATACGTTTGTCTCGAGTGAAAACAAATGAACGATGTAAACCTCGAGTATAAAGTCTATTTTATACGATATGTTAACATCAACACCATACGCATATGTACTTATACGAGATGTCACAGAAAACTTCAATAGCCTAGTAATGCGATATACTCTCGGTTGAATTTGCTGATGGATAATTTAAAGAGATGTTATTTGTATATTATAATCTATATATAATTTTTCAACAGCAATATATTATTCAGAACAAAATTAAAATCTAATTTAAAAAAAAGTCTTGAATGCAGAATAAGATCTAAAAAAAAATATCGCGTAGATTCATATAATAAAATTGATACATTGTTTGTCTCGCATCAACGATACGCTTTTTTCAGTTTGAACTTTTCGCCATCATTAAAAGTTGTTTTAAACAAGCCACGTTCTCTCGAGAGTCATGCTGCGTCGTTTGCGCCGTTATTTTTGGCGAGAACTGGAGTTTATCAGGCTTTCATTATGCGCCTGAGCGTCGCGGGGCTACTTTTTCCGAGGCCAACGCGCGTAAACCGTGCACGTTAGTCGAAAACGATGAAAAAGGCATTCCGGGCACCGCTCCGGAGTGCCGTATTTATCGCAGCCGGATCTCGCGTTCGCGATAATTACGGTGCTTAATACGATACCGAGAACGGATTTTCATTTGGAATCGAAGAAAGATAAGTGCCGAGGATGACTCGAAATTACATATCCGCGCTGGCCTCCCGACGATCAAAGCGGTAGTCGCGAACGGCCGCTGTACTTTGAGAAGAGGTCAAAAGCAGATCTGTTGGCGTAGCATAAGATCGCACCAGAATTCCCAGGAAACGAGCGAGTGATATACAGCTCTTTAACAAGAAATCATGGCAAGGCGGAGCGGCACTTTGGTAAACTCGATAAATCCGCGTAGAAAATTCAACTTCGAATGGCCCTAACGACAGCTGTTTCCTGAGCCATCGTCGGAACCGTCAACGATTATCGAGCTCGTTTATTCGTCCAACAATCTTAAATCCACAAACTTTTCTTCCGACCGCTTTCTTCATCGTCGCGAATGTCTGGCACCGAAAAGATATCTGGCGTAAATAAGAGTAATGTAAATATTTCCTACTTCCTGCAAACATTGCCGAAGATTTTAAAGAATGAGATAAAAATTATTTGATAAAATATTCATTCGCTTGATTAAATCCAAATAATGATCTTTAATTATTTGAGCAATATTGAGTAATATTGAACAATAGAGCAGACAGTTTATGAATAATTTTTGAATATTCAATTTAGCGAATCTATAAATTATGAAGCAATATTAATTTCAATATATTTATAGAATAAAAAGCATCAATTATAATAAAATTAAATTATTGGACTTGTTGGATCATGTTGGTATCAAAGTTTTAGATAATTAAAAATTTTACATAAGATATAAGAATTGAAAAATATTTTCAAGATATCCCTGTTCTTTCCTATTGCGTTTTGCTTTGCTTTCGATCACTTCGAGAAACAAGAAAACAATTACGCAGTGGAATTTCTTTATGATCATCGCCGGATTAAGTTGGCTAAAAATACTCGAGCCGAGGGCTTCGAGCTTCATTGAAGGGGCAAAAAAAGCATTCAGACAAATAAGTTTCGTAATCAGTGCTACTCGGTGCGCGATCTGGAGGCTCCGGGAGATCGATCGTCCTCGCGTCGCGCTCCTTCCGGTACGTGTCCCGATGTGGCAAGATCCAGTAACGAGAGGCCTAGACTCCGAAGTCGCCTCCGAGTAGTTGGGGGTAGGCAGGCAAGTTCGATTCTCGTATTTATAGACATCCTGGAAAAGAGTGCAGGAACGGGAGAAGAAGAAGAAGAAGAAGAAGTAAGTTATGCGACGTTTGGCCCGCCCCAGCCACTCATTCGGCGACCATAATTCTCGGGGAGTGACAGCTCCGAACGGAAGGGTGTGTGCCGTCCTCCATCCGCGAGAAGAGGGAAATTGAATGCCTTCGCAACCCCTTCTCAGCGTCCCAACGTCGCTCTCTCGTCTTCTCGCCCGCTCTCGTCTTCTCGCTCTCCTGCTTTAACCGCGTCACTGTCAAACTGATAACCGCTTCTTTCCAGAGACGGCTCCTCCGCGAAACCCGAGACAACCACGAAACGGTCGACGAACAAGCCGCGCCCGGAGAAGAACGCAATACGTTCGAGACGACGTAAGAGAGATTGTAATAGAAAAATCGTAATAAATTTCGAGAGAAATTCTCCCGCCGTGTATTCAGCACCCCTCACTTTTGTATTTGTTGTTACTTGATAGTCTGAGAATAACCGCGAAACGTATCGTTTTTCTCCGCCTCTATTTCGTATGTTTCTCTTATACATATCTAATATACATATCTACGTGCACGTCGAGTTGATAAACGATTTTCCGCGAATCTTGAAATACCGAAATGGTAATTGAAATGTCTTGGCGTTGAATCAGACTTCCACGCTCGAGTTACAAGTTGAGGCGACGATGAAGGTTACGCGATTTGTTGGAGATCTATGAATTGCGCAATATCGTAAATCTCCTCCTTTACAAGAACGGATCTCCTTCTCCGCCATCGTTTGTCCTCTCCCGCAAAGCATTCACGTCGCACTCGAGTAGCGAACCACTCCTTCTTCAGACAACTGAGAATGGTTCTGAATTAACCTTTAACACAGCGCAAGTCACGTCTTTATCTACTGGGAGAGGCTGACTTTAATAATTTAATATATGCTCCGTGTAACTCGGAATTATGTAAATGGCTATGTAGAAATCTCAGATTTCCCTAGAACTTTTCAAAAAATAAAGTATGTAATTTACTGGAGGAAGACCAAAGTCTCGTTATAGATTTACACGCATCACGTCTCGTATAATCTTGTTCCTACATACTGGATGAAGTCAAAGATATCGCCTTTGGTGGACGAGCGCGGTGAGTAATTAGCGCACCTTTCATATTTTAACGGTAAAGCAAATTGCACAGAAGACTAACGAATCTCCTAGCAAATTAGGAAAGAAAAATAGAGGAAGTGCGGTGGCGGGTAGACACCAACAACGGGCTTTTCTATCTCGGTGAATTTAATAATTCGCATCACCCTTCCTTTGTTAATTCCGGGATTATTATTAATGACGGCGCACGAGAGTCGTGGTCGGCTTTCGGTACGCTTACTCGCACTTCTCTCCTCGGGCGCGAATATAAATTAATTACGCACCGGGACTTTCACGAAAAACATATTAAACTTCCCCATCTCATTGCAGCACGATATTAGCGCATAAATCATGACTCGCACCTAATCCTTGGGCTAACTCAATCTTTGCTTTCTTTTTTTCACGTCAAAACGTCCCGACTAATTATAACATACGAGCTGCCTTTTGTAATCATACATATCTTTAAATATTGTGAAGAGTCAGAAGAAATTTCTGTTATATCGTGCAACATCGAATCTTGAGACATTAAATATTTTTCTTGCAAAGTCTTACAACGAAATTGTACGCTGTCATGAAAATACAAGTTCCACTTCAAGTCGCTTAAGATGGACGTATTCATTACATATCATTATATTTTCAGGTATAGCTTTACCACAACGTGACACAAATACCGAGATTTAATCCAGATTAAATTCTAGGCAAGATGTAACTTGGAAACTATCTGGTCGTTTGTGTGTTAGTGATAATCAGCTTCTCAGCGTGGCTTACTGCGACGAGACTAGGTTCGTTATGTTTGCTCAACGGAATTAGCAGGTGGACACCTGCCGCAAGGTTCCCCTCCCTATCCCCCTTTCGACTGTAATGCCGCGCCCGTTTTCCGGGCATCGGTGAAATTAGAATGAATGTTTGTAAGAGCGTCGACCCCGAAAGAAGCTCGTGCTTGCCCCCTACGTAACTATGGGCGCGCTGCACCCTTTCGTAGGGCCGTGAAAGCCGAGGCGCGATTTCCTCGGGTATTGTCAGACTTGGGGAGCCATTTTCGCCTCTTTCAGAGAAAACAAACATTCGTTCTAGGTGGAAGGTAACTCGCGTCGACGAAAACGCGCATGCCCGTCCTTCTGGCGCCGCGACGGCTGGCAGAACGGAAGTACTACTTTTATACCGGCCCTTTCGTCCCTCCTACTTCTCCAAGGTCCTACTTCTCTCTCGCTCTTTTCATGCTAACCATCATTTCTGTACCGTCCTTCTCTACCGTTCCACCCTTGGAACCCCCTAGGCGTGGACTGGAAATCACCGTCTCGAGTTGCGTGCGTTACTCAGACCCCGAGGGTCGAAAGTGCAACCCCTTTGTACGGGATTCGTGCCTTCGTGGCCTGGATTTATCAAAACTAACTAGTTTTATTTTCTAACTCGTCTGATGTTAATAAGAACGAGAAAAGATGCTTATATTATACATTGTTTCGTGAAAATATTGATTCTAATTACTTTCTATTTTTACAAAATTCAAAATCGTGAAATCATGGAAAACTTATCCAGCTTTATTATTCATAATCGTAATTTAATTCTTTTATTTTTAGATAAAAAATTCAGAAAATATAATTTTATGATATCGCATTTTATAGACATTATACCATATAATTTTCACGGAGTTTGAGAATTTTTAATGCAGAAAGGAAGTTTCAAGTATGTCAGTTGAGGAGATAAATCTTCTTCCTCGAGCATTGTCTATAATGTCTAATTCTTTCCAGCTGATGTCGGTGCGTGAAGGGTTTTAGGGCACGAACCCTTCGTGCTCGTGCAGTCGAGCACGCGGTGTTTGCTTTTGTGGGTTCGCCTTATGAAAATACAGATCCGCGCGGCGGATTGACGTACGCCCTTCGAACCCGAAAGTCAGGGATTATTACACTCGACGTCGCAGCCGACGTCTGACAGTGACGTCCTTTCAGCGCGTCAAGCGCGAGACGTCCCTCCGATTCTCCCCGGATTCATCCTCTTACTCGATACATTCCGCGATGCCGCCGGGACGCCGTCGATCGCGATGAGATACGAAAGGGCACCACGGCGCGACGGAGAATCGACGACGATCGCTCTCGCTCGTGTACATATATATTTTCGAGACGAAGATCTCGTTGCTTGGAGGATATATCGCCGAAAAATAGTGATCCGCGAACGAGGGAACGCGGGAAGCCGAGGATTATCTCGCTCTCCCGAGCTGACGCTCTTTCAACGTGTCAATCTCGCTTGATTCTCCTGATCCATCCTCATTCGCCGATATATCCAAAGCCTGCGCCTTTGGTGAGACGTGGGGTTAAGTCGATTGCACTCGAGGCGATTTATTCAGAGTCGTTATAGGGGCGAAGAGATCTGAAGTTCGTGTATACGCGGACGAGCGTAAACTGCCTGGTTCTGGCGCGTGATCAAGCCGAACGAGGAGATCGGAGTCAGCGCGGGGGTAAGAAACAGATGTCAGAATACCAGCTTGGGAATGTTTACGTCGCGGGGATTTTATATCCGAGAGACATACGACGTACACGTGCAGAAAGTGTCGGCGGTGCCTTTGTCGTACGAATAATCGCGCCTTTCAAACAAGCCCCGCAGAAGCTGTCAGCCAGTATTAACGGCTGCACTGAGCGTACAAAGGAGTGACAAGTTGTAATGATAACCGGGGTATGTTTTGATAAGTGTATCTGCAAGGAGAGAATACGATCGTGAGAATATGTTTATGCATTTGCATAGATGGTTATGCAAATAATCCGCTAATCCGCGCGGCAGAGTGCATTATCGTCTCAATTACAGTGTTTTTCGCATATATATGTGTATATTTATTTATTTGAATATGTATTTAAATATATATATATATATATATATATATATATATATATATTTAGATTCAAAATTATAACATATTATGCAAATTATCCTATGCATTATATACTACTTATTCGTTATTTTTTAAAAAAGTATGTAATAATATATGAAAACAAACAAGCTTCCGTTTTGTATTACATATAATTTGAAATCCTATGCTTTGTACCGCATGGGTTGGCGATAGAGCGTTAGGACGAGGGGCAATAACGCGTTAATTGCCGCATTGTTATGTTAATACGCTGAAGACTTCAGCAATAATTTCGTCACCATCACGCTAGGGCCTAATGGATCCGTAGATAATTGGAAAGGAGGGCTGAGGACCGAGAGGGTAACAGAGGGATGACAATGTCATAACGCGGGAGAACTCTGTTGCGTGACGGTTCTCCTCCCTGAACACACTTCTACACCGTCTGTTTTCGATATATCCTCGACGCGACAAACGCACACGAGACGCGTTGTATCGTTATTATATAGTATATATAATAACGTGCTCATTTCATTACGTGTACATGTATTAATTTACAACTATTAAAATTAATGCATTCGCGTAATCAATATGTTCGCAATTTAGAGGCTGAGTCACACCGTGGCGTATCCGTTACACTATGTTTCACCACTAGCCGTGTGTCATTGTAGTGTTGCTGTTAACAATGGGTCTCGGTACGGAATGCAAAAAAGGCGATCGTTCGCCACATGTGTCACTCGCGTTAAATCTCGCTACGTCAGATACATCCCTCCCGGATGATGCATCTGTACAATTGCCTATCCTATCACTCCGACTCTCTCCGGCGCACCCGTCCACTCGTGCACCACGCACACCCTCGCGGCCCGTCCGTAATTACGGCAACACCGACGTCGTTAAATACACGCGCAAACGGCCGCCTCTTGTCTAGGCACGCGTCTATACGTACACGTCGTTTACCAACCGCCCTCGGTTGGTGTACACAAAATCGAACGCGCCCTCGCGCATACGCACGCACGCACGCACGCACGCACGCACGCACGCATATACGTACACAGGCGGGGACAGGCAGGCACCTAGAGGGTGTGCAATACGCGCGAGCACCGCAATCCGACCGGCGTGCAACATGTTTATGTATCGCCGGCAACATTAACATTGCAATTTATGCGCGCTTCAACTGCTCGGCGAACCCCTTTCAGCTCTCCCCGATCGGCCACAGCTGACCGGCTCGCTTAACACAACCGCGAATTTACCGACGCGGTTCAATGTACAAGTTCAGTCATCGCGGGGAAGGAAGAGGAGGGAAGGGGGTGGGAGAGGAGACGCAATCTCCTCGGTCTCCTTCCAACTTTCATATGGGGCTATTTATATTTCGACGCTGTTCGCCCTCGATGCTCCTCTTATGCAGAGCACGCCGGATCCACCTACGCTCATATGGATCTTTCGATGACCGGTATTCGAAGCGCGGTTCTATTAGATTCCGAGTATGATCAAGCGATTTCGAAATGAATTCCGTGTCCCGCTTCTTTAAATGCGAATGAAAAAGCGGAAATAAAAAGATGATGAACTTTGACATTTTCATCGATTGAGAATTATTAATTGATATTTAGATTATGCCATCGAATTAGCGCAAACCGTAGGTTTTTCTTCATACAAGAATGTTGTTTTAATCGCCGCTGTTCTATTTGTTATTTCAAAGTATTATGTTGAGCTGCTTTGATAACCAGATAGAATTTAATTAGCGAAGTTTGCGCTATATACTTGTTTTCTCCGGGATTACACCGGCAAGCTCAAGTATAAGTATAAGCAGGATCAAAGGTAGCCCAAGTATCGGCTTTGAGGTCAAATAGTATGCCGCATAGGTTCCAAAAGTTAGAAGGTAACATCAACTTTCCTGATTTAGTATGTTTCCGTAACGGCTGTTGTACGGATATATTTAGCGTTAAAGTATAAGCCGATTATCCTACACTTCCAGACTTTACAGTTTTCATTGTTAAAGTTGTCAAGGACTCATCAAGTGTGTAACTCTTGTTCGATATCCATTACATAGAGAATTTTTCATGAGTTTCGCATGTTGAAATCGCTGTCAAGGTAGTATAGTTTTATATTCGTGTAACGTGAAACTTACATATTGAAAATTTTGCACTTGCCACAACTCAATGTAACTCGAATCGTACTCGTTCGTCCGGGGAAAAGGATGATACACGTTGCAACGCAACCGAATCGAGAGACCATCACGATCCATCTTTCAGTCCTGCTCGAGAAATTCTTCGGGTGCGAAATACGTCCCGTATACGTAAGTTTCGAGCTCGATTTCACGAACGAGTACCTAAAAGCCTTTCCCGCAGCTGACTTCGGAACTCTTGGCGGATACTTTGCAAGTTTCTCGCCCTGTTTACCTGACACGAGGGTGGCTCGGGCCGCTGGAGTCAATGGGATGGAAACCAAGCCGAGTAGAAACCGAGCCCGAGGTTTAATGTAAGGCAAAGGGCAAAGGGTATGAGGGAGGGCACCGAGATGCCTTTCTGTTTTTATCGAGTGAAATCACGGGTTAGAGAAGCATTTACTTTGGGGTAAAATTATAGCCTCCGATGTAAACACCTATTTCAATCATGATCTCGCCACGACTCCTGATTTTGTGCAAAAAGAGAATCAAGTCTATTATGGTGAGGTAAATAACACGATGTATCACGCGCTAGTGATATATGTGTTTCTACCTATCGCTAATCTATTAGCTTGATTTAATATTTAAGATACGTCATTTTTTAATAATATATTTCTATTACCCTTTCGTAAATTTATGTCTTTTGTGAAATATTATTTTATATACGCGAATAAGAGAAACTTGATTGGATTAATATCTCGTATGAGATTTTTTTATAGAAAGTAATCAACATGGGAATTAAGATATACCTTCAGGCAATTTATGCACATAATAAAATATTACCGGGTAATTGATTTGACTCGATCGTCGTTATTTACATTAATGTGGGGAGATATAT